TGTTGTGGAGTTGACTATTCCAGACGAATAATGAGATTCTTGGGTTTGGTTTTGAATCAGGGATTCTATTAAGCTTGAAAAGAAGACACGATCGACCATGAATGCGGTACGGAGAAAACCACATATCACTTACATCGTCAAATTGTGAACTCCGAGAAGAATGGTCTAACGTGGAGATCAAATCTAGAGCGGAAACTACAGCTGCTGAGGCAGATTAAGGCTTAGTTTAAACCTTTACTTGCAAACTTACTTATAACTTTGTGAACCTGTTGATGTAAGCCCCTGGATTCATTGCAAGTTATGGAAACTCAGATGATGCTTTTTTGCTTACGAAAGCCAAGGCAGGCCACCAACACCCTGAGGCTAAAGGTTTTCACCAGGTACACATAAGTGATCTCGGTAGAAATATAGTAGCTTCACTTGACATCTGTTAGGATTCCTTCTATATTAGCTTGGATAATTACCTACTGTTAGCTTTCCTATTTCAAATAAATATAAAAAGAATAATTGTTTGTGTTTTTGAGTTTTCTATAGAACATACCCAAATCCATAGAACCTTATCTCATTGCATAGATCCACTGAATCAAACGCGAGTTAATATATGCCCTTAACCTTTGGATCTATATGATTCATTTAGTTTTTTTTTTTACAAGAGACGGTTTCAGTTACTGTCATTTTTATACAAGTGTAAATATGTGCTTGGTATATTTAAACTGTGAGCTGATGTTTCCTGGGAAGTTTGTTCTACAGAGAGAAGATGAGTTTTTTTCCTCACTGGTGGAAAGAGTATGCAGATTGCAGCGAATGCCCTATACCACAAGTTGTTTCTAAAAATAAATCGAATAAGCTGTTGACTGAAACTCCTTTAGAAGCTTATGTGTCTTCTACCCTTTATGAAGTTGAAGAGGAGAGAGTTGGTGTACTGGTTAAATGTGGGCTATATGAGGTACCATCGTTCTTTTCAGTGTTGTAGAATTTTCATTTAAATGATAACATGTTGAACATTTAGAGTCCTTATATCTAGCTTATGTTTCTGACCAATGAACCATAATACTGTTGGTGGACTTGGTGATGAGGCATTGTTTCCTGTATAATGTAATGGAGATAATCGGCCTTTGCTGAGAGTCCAGAAACTGTTACTGATCGCTTGTAACTTCCATATCATAACAAGATCGTTATCTTTTACTGGAGTATGTATCGATTTAAACTATTAAGATTCCTTTCTACCTGATGCTTCCCACCGTTTGAGTTTTTGGTTTTAAGTTTCATACATATAAGCTGAAGCTATTTCTTTTTTTGGCCTTTGGTTTTATATTCTGAAAGTCTTACACATACATACTGCTGATAAGAAGACAACAGACCTGAGTTTTGTTTGGATTTTTTTTTCATCTAGGTCTGGAGCAGAAGAAGGGATCAACCTTCTGTTTTTTTTTTTTTTTTTTTTGTATCTCATACTTGGAAATCTTGGCTTAAAGTGGTTATGCCAGCTTTCCTATACCTACGCCAGTTCTCAAAAATATTCTGGAATTATGTCTCGCATTTTTTTTCTCTAAAGATATGATTTGAATCATATTTCTTATGCTTCTATTCAGGAGAACTAGGCCAAGAACTGAAGAGATGGTAAGAGCTCAAATCAAGGGTTTGCAGAGGTGTTAAATTGTAAATTGAGATGTTATCTTTTTTCCTTCTTTTTCTTTTGTAACAAACGAGATGTGGATATTTTCTTTTAGTATATCATTTTGGTCTATGATTTTTAAATCAATGTACATAAATTCAACTTATCCCTCATTAGTACGAATTTTACATCATTTGATTATTATCACCTGCAACCCTTTAGGCTTATACACATGTTCTTCATATTGTTGATCCTAATACTAAAAATTAGTAAACAACTTTTATATGATTATCAAAACATGATGGTTGATGTTCACTTTCTCTGAGTTGGGAGTAGCAACTGATTGATTGATGATTTGGTACATTTGTAATTTTCCAAAAAGGAATTAGTTAGCTATGTAACCATTACAATATTCTTCTGGTTTTGTTATATAGATCCAAATAGCGTTTGCTTTTTTTTTTATGGACAAACAAATATAGTGAGAATCAAGTTGATTTGATGAAATTGATTTTTTGGAGGGTTTTATTTTCCTTTCCTGTGGGTTATTCAAATCAGCTTCAAATCTTTGATTTATTTCATACAATTTGCATTCAAAATTTTAAGGAATTCTGGTGCTGGAATGATTTGAGAGTCTTTATGACACAGCTACTATATAATGGTTTCTTCGATGGCTTTGAGAAAACATTACATCCCTTAAGCTCCCGTTACCTTATTTCTCTTTCACTCTTTTTATTGGTATTGGCTTACCTTTTTGAAACGGTTTCAATGTCTCAGGCTCAGTGGTTGGTGAAATCGGGTGGGAAGAAGGTGGAAAATGCCACGACGAGATTGAGGATCTCTGTCCCTCGTTTTGACAATACGAAGATTATTGCGGGTTATGCTCAAACTTTGATTGGCCGGTGTATGAATCCCAACAAGCAGGACATGAAGGCCCTCCTCTTCATGTTACCACGAATTTGGCAAGTTGAAGGACGTGTCACGGGTACCGACTTGGGGATGGGTCGCTTTCAATTTTCATTTGACTTGGAGGAAGACATCATCGAAGTGTTAAAGATGGAACCTTTCCACTTTGATTACTGGATGGTATCCTTGGTGCGTTGGAAACCGGTTCTTGATGTCAACTATCCTTCCAAGATAACATTTTGGGTGAGAGTTCTCGACGTGCCGCTCCAGTTTTGGGCAGTTTCAACCTTTCAAAGCGTGGGGGAAGCTATCGGCCAGGTTCAAGGCGAGGTTGATCTGGTAGAAGGCAGGGTTAGAGTTGCAGTGGATGGCTTTAAGCCTTTGGTGTTTTCATGGAGGTTGATTTTGAGGAAGGTGTTGAGGTGTTGATTAACCTCAGGTATGAGAATCTGTTTGGCTTTTGTCGCCACTGTTCCTGCATGACGCATGACAAATCACGCTGTCCAAGTTTGATGGAGGATGAAACTACTGCAATTGATGTCTCAAACACAGAACAAGGAGTGGTCGCAACGAGCTATAAGAATGCGGTGACTAATGGGAAATTGATGGGGGAAGATACTCGAGTTGGAAATCAAGGGGGTCAAAGTATTATGTTTGATGGTGCCAAAGGCAAGGGGATCATGCGTGAAAGACAAGGAGGTTTCAGGCATAATGGGGTGCATCGGTCTTATAAAGAGAAGTTCTCTAGAGGCTTTGGTGAAGGGCCTTCTCGGGGAGGAAGAAAATATGGTCATGGAGCTCTAAGGGGTATGGATGGACGTGTTGCGATCAACACTTCAGGTACTCAACATTTGCACACTGATGATGCAGGAGCACACCTTTCCAATCATCAAAAATTGATGTTGGATGCTTTCAACGGAAATCAACAAGTCCCACAAAGTCAAGACAAGATGGTTGGTGAGGGAAGTCATTCTAAGGCCCGCAAGTCTCTGAAGTTCGATGAGGAAGTAGGAACCGAGGTTTTGGATAACGAGAGCTTTGATGCTTTGGTTGTGGACAACATTGGCCGCGAAGAAGCTAAGAAACAGGCGGCTGACCTCGTGGACCAAGGTGCGAATTCAGCTCTAGATGATGCTCAATTGATGCTGGAGGGTGAGCTTCTCTCTGATTCTGAGCTCCTTAGTGAGGAATGGGAGGAAGGGGAGTTCCCTGAGTTATTGGAAGATGCAGAACTGGAGATTGTTAATGATAGCGCCTTAGATGTTGAAATGAATGATCAGGAGATTACCGCGGACCCGGCTAGCAAAGACGAGAATGGAACTAAGGTTGATAAGAAGAAAGGCTTGAAGACTGTGGCTTTTGGAGGAACAACTAAGAAGCGTATTGTTCAGAGTATTCTGTCGCCAAGAAAGAATAAACTGCCAAAGGGACCAGCTAGGAATGGAGGGAAAGGTAATGGTGAGGGGAAGAAACCACCTACCAAACCTAAGGAGATTTCAGAGTAAGGACGGAGGTTTTTGAGCTTCTTGAGGGTTTGTTTTATTTCAGTATTTGAATAAGGATGATTTCTGATAGGAAATTTGGTTTTTATAATTTCGTTTTTTTTCATTGTTGTTGCTTAGCCTGTGGATTGGGCTTTTTAATTCTTGCTATGTGGCTCTTGATGCTATGTCTTTCATATGCTATGAATAAATGGATGTTTCCATGGTCTTATATTGTTTTGACTATATTGGTTCCGTGTCTGGTCCTTGATGTGTTTACAGTTTTTATACACGACTATGAGATTATGCGGAGTATGGGTTTCTGGTGTTTGTTTCTTGTCATTATGGCTTTGTCTATGATTCATGGGTTAATGGAACTAGGTAGGAAAGATCCAGGCTATGGCTCCTTTGAGCTGACAAAGTGTTACAGCGGAAGGTTTTGGTTAAATACTGGAACAACTCACGGTTGCTGCGATAACGTGAGCTGTGTGTTTTATTGGTGTGACTGGTTGTTTGGCGGTGGTTGGTTTAATTGGATAAAGGATGAGAGTAGGATGGTTTTCATCGCTATGTATTGGGGTATTTGGTTTCAATTACTCAGGGGCAAGTATTATATTATGTTGTGTACTAACAAGGATTCTGCTTTGAAGAATAATAAGATGATAATGTCTGCTACAGGTGGTCAACGGGGTTTTGGTTATTTCTTAATACAAGTTGAAACTCACCAGCAAGGATATGATATCGTTACTGTTCGGGGTTTTCATAATTTTTTAGATTCCGTCAAGGACACAGGAGAAATGAAACAAATCATAATACTATTACTCTGTGATTGTTTTTCTTATCTTGTATGCTTTGAGGTGTGGAAAAGAACCTTCTTTATATCGGAGAAACAATATATGAGGTTCCAATATTTGGTTAGGAATGGTTCATGGGTCTCATGGGCTCCTATCACCTTGTTTTTTTTGGTTTTGATATGGACAAGTCACGTACATATGGGGTGTAAGTGTGGTTTAATTTATTTGGTCTCCTTAAACCAAATTAATTTGGGTCTAAAAAGAGAAAACCAAACTACTTTGGGTTTGTCTTTTTTAAATCCACAAAGCAATTTTCGTGTTTATGAGTATATTGAGTTGGAATTGTAGGGGTGCGGGTGGTTCGGATACGGTTCAACGTATTCGAGATCTACGTCGTCAATTTTTACCAGAATTTATGTTTCTCATGGAGACTAAACAAAAATTTGCTTACATGGATGCTTTAAAATCAAGTTTGGGGTACGATTTCTTACACACAGTGGAACCCATTGGGCGTAGTGGTGGATTAGCTCTAATGTGGAAAGGATGTTACTCAGTGGAAATTTTAAATAGTAACAATAGAATTATTGACCTTAAAGTCACAATGGGGACTCTGCATTTTTTTCTCTCATGTGTATATGGAGACCCAGTAAGAACAAGGAGACGATATGTTTGGGATCAACTAACGGATATTGGTGTGCTTAGAGATGAAGCATGGCTTTTGGTTGGTGACTTTAATGAGCTAATGCATAATGGTGAAAAGCTTGGAGGCGCTATTAGAGAGGAAAACACTTTTTTTATTTTAGAAATATGGCGGAAGCATGTAAAATCAGGGAGATGAGAAGTACGGGAAATACTCTTTCATGGGCAGGTATGAGAGATCACAATTGGGTTCAATGTCGCCTGGATAGAAGCTTTGGCAATGGTGAATGGTTTAGACTCTTTCCACAATCATCTACTGATTATATGAGTATGTGGCCTTCTGATCATCGACCTCTTCGCATAGAGTTTGCCCTCGAACCTGAAAATTTGCATAGAGGACGATTTTATTTCGATAAACGTATGTATGGTAAAAGAGGGGTAGAGGAGGCCATTATTCGGGGATGGGGTGCGGAGGATATTAACTCCAATCTCAGTGTTCTAGATCGGAATTCCCGGTGTCGCTCGGAACTGTCTAAACTTAAAAGGACAAATGATTAGAATTCAAAAACAAGAATAGATCGATTACAAATGGATT